GAGCGCACGTTGCCGGCTCATGTCCAGCTCATTCCAGAAAGATTCTTTCTAATCTTTTTTTTCCTTAAGCTTTGCTTCAGCAAGTGTAACATGTCTGAAGTCCCTGCGTAACCAGCCTGCCCACCTGACTCCAGGTGTTAGGATTCCTACCTGGTGAAAATGCCCTGCCGGCAAAGGGATTACAGCCCTTTTTCCCTGCAGCTAGTGTTTTTACGCTCTTACAGGAGTGGCACTGCTGGCAAATGCTCCTGAGAGATTGCCTGAACGGAAGAAGAGAGCTCGAGATGGACCCGGTGATGGGAGGCCTGCTTTGCCATCGATGGGGAGTGGAACTGTGAAGCCCACCTCCCGTGGTGCCAAGCACAGAGTCATGTCCCAAAGAGAGGAACAGCTGGCCATCCAGAGGGTTGGTAACTAGATGTTTAAAAGCCTGTTAACTTATCCTTGCTCTTTGTTCCTCCTCTGGTTTACTGCTAATTCATGAGAACTGGAAATGGCTGGATGTACTGGGGAAAGATCAGCTTTTCTGCTTCTTGTCCTGAAGTAGCAGAATGGATTTGGGCAGAGAAGGTGCTGCTTTTCCAGCCAGCCATCAGGCCAATGCTGCAAGCGTGAAGGCTTCTCGGCCTCACCTCGGAGCAGGGGTGTGGGAGAGGATAGCGCTAGATCATCTTTGATCCGGGTTGTGATAACGAGGTGTGCATTTGTATCTTTCTCTTACTCGCCCGCAGGAGCGGATCAGTCAGGTCCTGAAGGATTTGGAAGAGGAGCGTGTACCAGTCGTGAAGTTGGGTGATGCCAGCATTGCAGCCCCCTTTACCTCCAAGCTCTCTTCCATTCAGTGCAGTAAGTGCATGGTGGGAGCTGAGCAGTTGGTGTGCATCTCCATGTCTCCGAGTTCCCCGAGGGGAACAAGCCTAGGTTTGAAAGAAGCCTAGGTTTGAAAGAAGCCAAGACAGAGGGCGTGGGGTGGTGAGAAATGCCCCCAAACCCACAGCATTGCCAGCTTTTTGTGTGGAACAACGCTGTGGGGGTTTCTTGGACGGGGACGCAAGCAGTGAGGGCTTAGCTTCCTTCTGTACTGCTTCAGAAAAGGAGAGGACTGAGGAACAAAGCCCCAGAACCTGTTTTGTTTTGTTTCCAAACGCTGCTTCCTCTTGCTCCTTAGTCTGCCACGTGATCAAGCAAGGTCGTTGCACGCTAGTGACAACGCTCCAAATGTTCAAGATCCTTGCCCTGAACGCCCTGATCCTTGCTTACAGCCAGAGTGTCCTCTACTTGGAAGGGGTGAAGTTCAGTGATTTTCAGGCAACTCTGCAGGGTCTGCTGTTGGCTGGCTGCTTCCTTTTCATCTCCAGGTCGAAGGTAAGGGGAGGGAAGTGCGTTGGGGCAGTGGCTGATATGTCAGTCATATCAGGATTACTGAAGGAGTGCCTTTCTCCAAAAAAAGCCATTTTAATAAGTTAACCGTTCACAGTGCTGGAGGGGGTGGGTTTTTTTGTTCCCCTGGATTTGGGAGGCTCCTGAGGCCAGCGCTTGCTTAAGGGAGCATCTTGTGATTGCAGGCAGGCAGCTTTCTTCAGGTTACAGGAGGAGCAGGTGGAAGAGGTGGGAAGGGTAATGCAGAGAAATGGTTCAGCTGAGGCTGTTACTTGCACCAGCGAAGTTGTGGGTCTCATGTACGCGCGAAGTGGAATTCTTGCCGGCATTTCCTGAGAAATGTTAGTTGGATTCTGCTGGAAAACTGCCTAGAGATGGTCAAAACCATTCAAGTCAACCCTGCTTGCTTTTCTCCCCCAGCCTTTGAAGACACTTTCCAAGGAGCGCCCGCTACCAAACATCTTTAACCTCTACACGGTCCTAACAGTGCTGCTGCAGTTCCTCGTGCATTTCCTCAGCCTCGTTTACCTGTACCACGGCGCCCAGGCGCGCAGCGATCCCAAGTAAGTGTCTCTTCCTCCATCGCTGGAGTATTTTCTCCAGTTGCTGTTAAGCAGGAGGGTGGAGAGACGCCTTCCTCACCACAGTGCTCTTTCTGTGAATGCTTATTGAGCACGCCAAGCATTAGGAGTTTAATGTGTTAGACATGTCCAGAAAAAGCATTTCTGAGTTGTACACGGAGTGCACAGGCAGGCCAGCCCAGCATGGCAAGGATGCGACGGAACTGGTGGGAATATGGTCTGTGATACGTTGCCGTTCCAACGGTCTACTGTCCCCACACTGGGAGGGGAAAGGGAAATAGAAATAACGCCGATGAGGTGGATTACTGGAAAGTTATAAAGAAAAACACACAAAAAACTAATTTTTTTCCACTTGACTTATATTTTCTGAAAAAGAAGCCAATGATTACCTGTGCTTGCAGCACCTGCAGCTCTGCTCTCACCCGTGCGAGAACGCTTGTGTCAGAGGCGGGGCTGCTGCCAATGGGAGCCACCAAAGTTTGGGAACAAACTCTTGTTGCCCAACAAAACTTGCTAAATAAACCGTAGTTTAAATAAACTGGTGATTCTGAGTCTGATCTCCAGCTTTGTTCCCTTTTAGACAGGAGGAGTTTGTGGATCTGTACAAGGAGTTTGAGCCCAGCCTTGTGAACAGCACTGTCTACATCATGTCGATGGCAATGCAGATGGCCACGTTCGCTATCAACTACAAGGCAAGCCATGTTTAAGTCACATCTCCAGCAGCACCACAGAAGCGACTTTGTAATTAAGGTGCAATAGTACAAAACAATGTTCTTCTCTAATCACAAACTACATTTTGTCGGTGCTCTGTGGGGAAAACCTCCTTTTTGTGCCAAGTTGGAACGAGCCAAGTGTCCCAAACTGTGTCACGAATTGCTCCTCATCCCCTGGTCTGAACGAGTAGAGCCTCGCCTCCGCTCACGGTCTCTCCGTGCTGTGTTTCAGGGCCATCCTTTTATGGAGAGTCTACGGGAGAACAAGCCTTTACTGTGGAGCATCATCCTTTCAGGACTTGCCATCGTGGGCCTTCTCACGGGCTCCTCGCCAGAATTCAACGAACAGTTCGGCTTGGTAGAAATCCCTCCCGAGGTGAGCAGGCAGCGTTTCTCTGCGCCCGCTGAATTTTACGCTCGGTTTCAACTGGGAGAGCAGGGCCTGTCCTCAGGAACTCTGGAGGAATCTTAAGGTTTTTTGCAGAATGTCAGGCAGATGATAACTCACAGGAGCACTACCTATCTAAATAGCTTTAAGTGAGAGGATATGGTAACTAAGCATTGGGGGTTTTTTGCCAGCGTGCTGTGAAATTTCTACAACTTAGCGATTTTTACAGCACGCTGTGAAAGGAAGACGTTCAAACTGTAGTTCAGCAGTTGCCGCAGAGGCCAGTAGTGCCTCGCGGGGCAGAGGGCTCTGTTCTGCGGGGACAGAGTAACTGAGGAGAGGGAGGAAAGGGATTAACAGGTTGTGTTTGTTTTCCTAGTTCAAGATCGTGATCACGGAAGTGTTGCTGGCTGACTTCTTCCTCGCCTTGTTAGTGGACCGAATTCTTCAGTTTCTGCTGGGGAGCGCAAAACTTAAAGTGCCTTCCTGAAACGGATTCCGAGGTCCTCGCCCCCAGCAGCGCTACGCGAAGGACAGCACCCAGGGCCGTGTTTCGCCATCGCAAGAATCATCGTTAATTCTTTTGACAATAACTCTGATCCTGTTCGGAAACAGGCGTGGGGAAGCTTTCTTCCAAATCCCCTGGAAACCACCTCTGTGAAACAAGACCTGACTTTTTAATGTTTCCGGGACGCACCACCAACTGTCGGGAGTTTTGTACTGCCCTAACGTTTAAGGAAACGTTTACAGAATTTGGTAACTAAAATCAGAATCGATGTATTTTGAAACGTGTTTGGAACTTCCTTTGTGGGGCTGAAAGCTTTGTGATATTTTTAATAGACAATGAGACCGAGTGCAGGAGTAAGAACAGCAACAAATGAAGGTGAGGCCGAGGGGTAGGAGTCCTTACACCACAGAAACCCTATAAACACCCTTGCAGGAGGTAACGGTCAGAATAAAGAGTTGTAGCGTTGACAAAGCGCAGGAGAACAAACACTGCCAAGAACGTCTATACGTTGTGCCGCTGTACGTGCCAACCCTGAAGCCCTGTATTTCAAAAACCATTACAAAAATATTTTGGTAGGTGAGAAGAGAAACACATTTATTTTTCTCCCTAAGCAATTCCTGTAATCAGATACCGATTGCATTTCTTCAGGTACCCTGAACTTTAATCTGAGAGAGAGGGAGGAGCTCAGCCCAGCTGGATGTTTGGCTGCAGTTGACATCCTCGAGGTAGACTCCGGTGCTAACAAACGCTGGGTGGGAGCCTGGCAGCGGCCGTCCTTTCGACGACGAAAGCGTAATTGTACTGAAAATGAAAAACAATCGGTCAGGACAAGATTGAGAAATTCAGAATACGACCGCTATCCACCCCAAAGGAGGTGCATGACAAAAGCAGCCCGCTGACCTCTCTCTCGATATCGGCAAGTGACTTAACATTCAGGTCTGCAAGGATAGCCTAGAAAAAAAAAAGGCGGCACAAAGTGTTTCTAATTAAAGATTAGTTATGAGGTAGGACTAAAACCAGCAGCTTAAAGGAAGACTCACATTCGTGCCAGAACTGAGCTTGCTTTCGAATTTGGGGTGTAGTGTGAAAGGCACTCCATCCATAGCTGGGAAGAGAAGTGAGAGGTGCTTTAGGAACATCCCAGCAGCTGCTCGGAGAACACACAATTACTTAATTGCTGCGAAAAGCAGATGAGCGGAAGGGGACACCTTAGCACCCAGAAAAGAGATGTCTCAATTCAAGCAAGGAATAACTTTCAGGAAGGGAGAAGTCTTTCAGAAAACCTTCCTCTCAAAATTTAGCTCAATTCCGGTCTTTAAAGGGAACACTTGTGCAGAAGCGCTTGTGTATGAACCAACTACCAGCCTATATTTTCATTTTAAAGTACTCCTTAAATACGGATATGCTTGCTTTATGCAGCTTCCTCGTTTGATTCCAGACGAAGAATCAATTTACCCGAGAGGCCGTAGATGTTGGAGGTGTCGTACAGAGATTCGTGCTGAGAAGCACGTTTGACGCTGCATCGAGCCACGGGTGACCTGTAGCAGATCAGAATTAATTAGTGTCTCTCACCTGCTGACCCCTCACGCAACAGATAACGAGCCTCAGAGCAGGGGAATGAAAACCGCGAGGTGGCACCAGCAGTCGCAGGATTTATTCCCAGTCCCAGACTGGTTCAGGTAAGACTGGAAACAAAAAAACCACAGGAAGGCGTACGTACCTGTGGTCTGAGTCAGGGGGCTGGAGCGAGAGCTGCTTCAGGCCTGCGCTGATCGTCCGCCGTTTGGGGACGGGCGGGGGGCTGGATTTCAAAACCGGCCCTTTTTTACACCAGATGGCAAAACTACCCATT